CCGAAGACTTTAAACCGAAATGCCTCGAGAAGTCTTCTTCGTCATTAAGGGGAAAAGATCATAATCGGGTCTTTAACACTTGAGAGAGAGAGAGAGCTCGCGAACAACGGAAGAGAGATTATCTTTGAAGGTGGAATCGATCTAAAGATATTTCTTGGATCAATATTTAGTCACTAGTTCTTGATTTTCATACGGAGTTATGGAATCGGTTAGCGAATCCGTACCGTCTGCGAACTCGACTTCGTCGTCTATACCGCCGCCGGTGAACACAGTGCCGCCGTTTTTGAGCAAAACCTACGACATGGTTGATGATTCGACGACCAATGAGGTCGTATCTTGGAGCAGCGGGAACAACAGCTTCGTCGTCTGGAATGTACCGGAGTTCTCGAAAGTGCTCTTGCCGAAGTATTTCAAGCACAATAATTTCTCCAGCTTCGTCAGGCAGTTAAATACTTACGTAAGCATCATTCTTTCTCTTGATTTCTCAATCTCTTAAGTCCGATTGATCAGTTTTCTTGGTTTCATTTGGGGGAATTCTTGAACTGTTGAAGTTTTTAAGGGTTTAGTCTTAGTTTAGTGTCTTCTTTGTTGTTAGAAAGTGTTAATTAATGGCGTTTGTAAGATTTAGTTTGAGAAAATTTGAAGTAGTACGACATCATTTAGATAATTACATAGATGTTTTTGTATCTAACGATTGTTGCCTTTGATAGGTTATTGCAGTTTATGAAACTAGTTTAGCAAGTAGAACTATGCAATAATGTTTTACATGGTGATTTCATGACTAGATCCATGGCTGTATTGGATTCATTTTGAAACCTTGTCAAGTCAATCTTTCTACTCACCAGATTCCATAGAAATTTGGTCACTTTAAAATTCCTTCACATATATATCTGAAGATTGGTTTCCTCAATTAATTTCTGCCTTGTAGCTCTAAATCTCAAAACGATGTGTCTAACTGTTGTCTGAGCATTAGCTTTGTTGATAAACTAAGAGCTATTACATTCCTTATACCATGTTTATATTGTGCCGTAGCCAGACAATATAGTGGAGAATTTGTCTTGGCTTAGAAAGGTTCTTAGTCTCAAGAATTGTTTTGTGGTCTACCTGTTTATACCTTTTCGTATAATTACTCTTTGTTGGCTTTCTACTTCTACAAAATTCAAGTAACTT